CACACACACACATATATAAATAACACACACACACACACACGCCCACACACATACCACAGCGAGCGCTGCACATCCACAGTCCACATTACCCGGAAAGCACTGCGTGTTATTCCACATTAAAACTTCAATTTAGTCGTTAGTATTTTTTTACTTGTGAAAAGACAAACATGATATATATTCAATAATTATCTATAAACGTATAAATTTAAGCTGATTATTTCTCCTGTAAAAACCAAACAGTGGTTTAAGGCAGTGGTTCCCAACCTGAGGGTCGGGACCCCCACTAGGGGTCGCCAAAATGTCGCAGGGGGGTCGAGGCCTTCTTGATTTTACAGCTAGAAAACTTTAAAAACAATACACACAGTAGGTCTTTATGTCAGCATTTCATACATTTTAAAGTTCAACACTAAAACCAGATGAGTTCATTTAACTGACCACATCGAACATTTTAAGTAAAACTAACTCAAATTCAGTCAAGTTCAAGTTAAAAAAACATTTTTTCATCAAGTAGCTTTCGTGATTTTGACATTTTTAATTGTACTGTGAAAAAAACTAGTAAAAATGACTTAATTAAGAATGTTTTTTAAAGAACTGAGTTAAAATGTTCTTGGTAAACAACTTTTCTAAGTTGAAATAATTTAATGACATTACAGTGAATTATTTAATATCTAAACTCTGATCAAGTATCAGGGAGAAGAAAACACTGAATTGGTCAAAAAAAGATCCTATTAAGTCTGTATGATTATTAAAAATAAAATAAAAACGTAATACAGACAGAGGATTGTATAAAAAGTTCACAGGAAATAATCAAACTTCCTGACGTTACTGAGTTCACTGTTTGTGTTCATTGATCAGTTGATCAGCTACAGTTTACTCACTGAGAGATAAAGGAGTCCCTAAAGGAACAAGGTTGGGAACCAATTGCTTTAAGACGTTTCTATGGATGTTTTGGATGTTTTGGATGTTCGAGGTTGAGACTCGTAGTTACGGATCCTACAGCGGGACAGTGAACACAGCTTCCTACCGTCATCCAGCGTGATCTCCCGGAGGCCGAGGGATCCCAGGTTCGGCTGGGACTCTTCCGGCTCCTGCTTGATGTTCAGCGCCTCTCCTGGGCCGGAGCGCGGGGAGTCCTTCTGCGGGTCGGCGGCGGGCACGAAGGCTCTTCTGGAGCTCGGAGACGGTTCCCTCTGGGGTCCACCGGAGGAGGTCTGAAGGGGCACGGAGGAGGCCTCGACAGGCAGGGTGGCGATCTGAGGAGGTATGATGGAGGTCTGGAGAGGGATCAGGGTCTGGTGGGGGACTGCGGAGGGCACGGAGGAGGCGTGAGGAAACATTAAGGAGGGAGGGGGGTGATGAAGACGAGGCGCGTTAAGGGGAGGAGGACCGCAGTGCACTGGGATGTCACAGGAATCATAATACAGCAGGTCTGGGCCGAGCACTCGGTCGTGGGAGGTCGGACAGAAGCCAGGTGGATTGTGGGGGATGTGGTCTGTGTCCCAGTGCTCCTGTTTGACTCCGGCGGCGGCGGCGGGGAGGTGACGTCTGACTGCGGGCAGGTAGGTGAAATTATGCGCTAGACTTCTTTTTCTCTTCCCGTTTGAGACGTAGAAGTGGACCTGGACCGGATCCGATGTCTTCCTGTTGTACGGAGGAACCTCGACCACAATGCTGGACTGAGAGACACAAACACAGACATGAAGTCAACTGCAAAATACAACCGCAATGTTTCTACAGTAGCCCAGAAGGGACAAACCAAACACTGGCTGTAGATAGGTGGAGCGCGTTTTGTGGTCACTGTAGTTTCTCCCTTTGGAAGCAGAGGGTGAAGTGAGGGAGTCGCAATGTACTACACCACTAAATCCTACACACCAGACCTTTAATAAAACTTTGAATTAGACTTTTTCGATAGTTTTATGCTTAAATTTATTTATTTCTACACATTTATATTGATTGTTTATCTGTTTTTAATCTGTCATTGCACTGTTGTGTCTGTGAAGTAAACCTGATTTTGAAAATGCTATAAAAACAGTTAATATTATTTAATCTATATTTTGTGTTTTGACATGTACCTGCTCAGTTTATTGATCTATACTCAGAAATATAATATTCATAGGTGTGTTTTCCTCATCAAGAAATCTCTTTAAATGCAATAAATTCATTTAAAAACATATAATACCATCAAAATAGTTCACAATTTAAACTGTAAGATTGCTGAAATGTAACTGAACACATTAACTCGCCTACAACCCTTCAGTAACGGAATTTATTTTATTTTACTGAGAAATTCAGATTCTAGAAAGTTAAAGTGTATTTATCAACCACAGCAACAAGAACTGTGATGTTATATGTGTGTGTAGATGTGAGAAAAGAATCTCACCGACAGTCGAGATTTAAACACAATACACATCAAAGTTTATGTAGGTGAACACATTCAAATATTTCCAGGATATTTGGTCATTTTAATAATTTCCAGGTGTTTCCAGGACGTGTGGGAACGCTGTAAAACGTGATGTTAAGATAGTGAGCGGAGTTAAAATGAATGGTTCAGAAACAGTGCAACCAGGAGGACCCCCTTCTCCACCACATCTTGAACCGGTTCCGTTCAGGATTCAGGCAACAATCAATAATCTGAATATTGAGAATAAACCTGCCTCTTGTCATCCTTTTATATGAAAGAAAGAAGAACTGAAACCTGCTCTGTCTGCATCTGTCGCCACCTTTAACCTCTGATATTGTTTTGGCCTTTAATGAAACATAAATAAACATCACACTCGCGTCTGTGTTACAAAATCTACTACAACCTCCAGTGATGTCACGCTGGCTCCTCCCTCAGACTCTGTGGTTTCAACAAACACTCGTTAACTTCCTCTTTGTACTTCCTCTTGGGAGGGAATCCTCACCGCCATCTTAAGTGACGTTCAAATGCTCCAAAAACCAGAGTGAATGTCTGTGAGATCGACCCTTCCAGCTGTCATATCGGATATTTCCTGGTATTAACGCGAGTTCTGGTGGACGGCTGTGAAAGCATTAAAGTCTCATTGAGGACACACAGACCACATTCAGAGGACGAAACGCTGTCTGATTTCCATTTTGTTCACTTTTAATGTGTTTGGGTTCAGATCTATTAACCACAATACCACCAGACTTTAAAAATCACACTTTTGAGGGTTGTCGAGGAGAAACTTTATGAACTTGCTGCATGTGACAGATTCTTTATAATTTGGGTATTCTTGTAAATCAGGCAAACTTTACACATTAATTAATTCATTCATTCATTTCTTTGTATAAAAACGACTGTGTCTGTTTGTCCCAGCGTGTCGGCTGCAGCCCGGCAGGAGGGGCGCTCCGTGGTGCGAGCAGGACGCACACTTTTACTGTCTTTGACATTAATCGTATGTTTAAACACTAAATGTGTAAAAAAAAGATTTAAAAATTAATAAATATTGTGTTTTTTATAATATATTTAATTATGAACATATAAGTCATGATAGTGTCCACCACTGCCATCGGAGTCATGTTTGTGTCAACCTGATGAATGTAAATATATAAGACTTTATGTTGATTCTGGCGCCCCCTGTGGACAAACATTAGTGTTTCTACCATCTAATTTCATTGATTTCAAGGGGAATCCGACCGATGGCAGACTATCTTCTCACTGAGAGACATTTAACAGTTCCTTGTCGTACGTTTAAGCTCCATTTTATTCTCTGTGGTATCAGGACACGTTAGCTATCTGCTAACAGGAACACAGCACACAGACTGATATCCTGGCGTACTGATGACCTACTTTATCAGCATCCTGTTGCTGTGGGACTGACAGGGAGTGGTGTCGCACAGACTGTATGCAACAAATTCAAGGGAGTGACTGTAAAATCCTGTTGTTTACTCCGGCAGAGGACTGAAGCTGTTTGGGTTCCTCAGTGTCCACTGCACATGTCCAGACTGTTTTAAATAAATCCTTCATATCTTATAGTTATTCATTTAATATCTGGTCTTGTGTGGTTCATCAGTGAAGTGTTTTACAGCCTGGAGTCTCTGTTAGACACAGACAGACAGACAGACAGGTCTGTCTCACCCTCACTGCAGTGCATTATTATAAACTATAATGAACTGTGAGTCACAGTTTTCTGTTTCTACTTACTCCGCTGCTTTTCTCCGGCACAACTCTGGCGTCTGTTTCCCACAGCGCTCTTCCATCTGAGGGGGGGAACAGTTCAAACATTTAGCAGGATGTTACGTGTGTTTAATGCACGGTAAGTTACCGTTAACTGCTCTTACCGGGCCCCTTCTCCGTGAACACAACCCTGGACTGTGTGGAGATGTTGGATCCGGTGATGAGCAGCTCCTCTCCTCCGTCCACGGAGCAGCTGGCTGGACTGAAGCTCTCCACCTGGGGAAGCTCCTGACCCGAGCGCTGGGCTGAAACAACAACACACATTTCAGTATATGTGCAGTTTCTCCGGCAGAATCAGACAGAGGACATATTCACTCAGCAGTGAGAAGAAAACCTCACTGATTATAATCTGGGTTTGTACGAAGCAACACGTCCCTCGGACTTCCTCTTCTGCTTCTTCGATTAGAATATTGTTTCGATATGAAGGATGAACATTTTCTGTGTCTCCTCTCTGCTGAGTGAAAGCCTCCCTGAATAACTCAATCAGATGTAGATGTGACGTCTGTGTTACAGGTGACTCACAGCACTCCACAGGGACGGACATCGTCTGCAGCCACATCATCCGGCCGTCCGGCTGCGGGACGGCGACCCTGAACACAACGCGCACCCTCGTGTTCTTCCGCCCGATGTCCGTCTCCCCTTTCTTCAGCTCGATGTCGGCGTTACGCAGCTTCAGGATGCCGGCACAGTCAATGCTGTGGAAAAGAAAAGCAAAATGCATTATGCTGCTAATCTTAAAGGTTTTATATGAAATTTAAATCATTAATAT